GAAGAGCATCTTCAAGTTGCTTTAGAGATATATGCTGGAGGTGGGAATCTGTTCCTCACTTGAGTCTCCAAGACTGACTTAGAGTGGTTCGGTGATGTTTAATTCTGGTGATTGTGCTGGCCAAGGAAATGTTTAAGTTCACCTCCATGCTCTTCAAAACATGACTGAACAGTTCCAGTTGTGTGAATATGGGCAATGGAAGACTGCATCCTTGTTTGGAAATAACGTCTGAATCATGAGATGCACCTGATTACCCAATCTGTCCATGTACTCTAATTCAGCCTTGAAGGGTAATAATGTGACCAAAAGAATACCATAATGATGATGATGTCCAAACCATCACAGAACCTGTTGGAAGCTGGCATTCTGGATTGTAGGCTTCCTTGGGTGTTCTCCAAACATAAAATCTTCCTGATATAGGGAACAGCGTGAAGGATGACTCCTCTGACCATATCACACTTGCGTTTCCAGCTGTCTGATGTTCAGGTTTGATGGTCATGATACCATCTTCACGCAGCTGAGCATTACTTTCACTAATCAGAGGTTCAACAATTGCAGCCCTACTGTGAACGTTGAATTTGTGAGGCTCACGTCAGGCGGATTTTGTGGAAACAGGGTCAAGATGAATATTCAGTTCTGTTATCACCTGTGCTGCAGTAGTTCTGTTGTGTTTGAAACAATCCTTCTAAATGTATGTGACCTCTTTCTGTCACTGCTGATTTTCATTCACTGTTCCTCTTCGCTAACGTTGTCTTCCCATGATTCATGTATGCCAACATAACCTTAGAAACTGTTTCTCTTGATATACCTAACAATGTGGCAGTTTTTGTCACAGACTCTCCAGCTAAATGCACACCAATGATTTGTCCTCTTTCAAAATTGGACAAGTCTCCCATTTTTCGATTCTTTCACATGAACTGTCAACACAATCACTAATGCACTAATACGAGAACTACAGAGTGTAAACAAATGGAAGAACATTCAGTCTTGCCAGCTGAAGTTCTTTCAACATAGACAACACAAATTCTATTCCTCAATGTCTTTTTGTTTCCATTATTTTGTCCACCCCTGTATATCTTACTGCATGGTTTCTCAAGCCACAGGTTGTGACCCCCAAGGGATTGCAACTTGCTCTGATTTATGAAGAAGATTAAAATACAGTTGAATCCATACAAAGTTTTGGAAAGTCGGTGAGATTTGATAAAGCTGCTTTCAGAAACCGCAGAGAGCAAAACATTGCATAAGTATTTTCATGACTGTATAGGGCCGCAGAGAGGTTGTGCAGGTATTTAGCTTCACATTTTCACTGTACAATCAAGAGGCCTGCAACAATGTGCAGACGTGCACTTTTCACTGACTGGCAGAGATGGGGAAGAAGTTCATGTTGATTTTTAATCATTTTAGAAGGTCATTGTATCACAACATTTAAGAACCCCTTCGTATTGCATTCTTCAGATTTCTTCAAAATATTCCTGTTAGTACTTAAAAAGAAGTAAACTCATTTTTAGTTTATTTCTTAGTTAAGTAGAGCCTACAGAGTTGGAACAGCACAGGTTCAATTCCTGGCAGTGCAAGATTTTCTCTTCTCCACAGCATCCGGAGTGAATCTGGGGCCAACCCAGCCTCCTATCCAATGGTTACTGGGGGCTCTTTCCCTGGGGAGTAAAGTGATAGGGGGCATGAAGCTGACCACTCACCTCCATCTAGTGCTGAGGACCAGAAAGGTGGAGCTATGCCTCCACTCCCCCATGTCTTCATGGCATAGTGCTTAACTAATTAAGCACAGGGGTAACTTTAACTTTTAAGTAGGACTTCCTGTATTGCATCAGATTCACAATGTCAAAGAACTTATTCATTTAAACCTGATCTGAGATAAACAAACATGGTGACTAGTAAGACTGTTTACTCTTTAAAAAATATTATTTAAAAATTAATATTCGATAAGACTAGAAACTCAATATTTCAGTGCTCTTGCACTTTGAAATAATTATTCTGCTAGCTACAGAATGTCTAAATCCAAGTACAGTACAGTAGAGCCAACACATACAAGCAAAATTAATTTTGCTCCCAGTATATACATTCTATCTACCACCAATTTAATTAATCATTCCTGTGACTGCCTCCATGCCTAAGCCAACACTCTGCTAGATAATAAGAATTACCACCTTGCATGAAGTATTATTCCATGGTATTGTGAAAGGTGGGTTCACATCAAAACTGTTGACTATTAATAAAATCCAACGAAAATCATTAAAAATTCTTCCAAACATGCCTTTCTGGGCAAAAGGCAGAAACATGTTACATTTATTGCTGTATTTTGCTCTGATGACTGTATTTTTAATGCATCTGTAGTAATGATGCGCAATATGAAACATGCATTTTAAATGCAACTTTGGCACCATTATTTGTTAAAAGCACCATCATCAGCAGCAGCATCATGACAGATATGATTGAACTCCTTTCTTTCTTTCAGATATTTTTATGCTGATCTAATACTGAAATAATATTAGACTCATATATAGGTCTGTTTTGCCCAAAAGTAACACTGTTACAGTGTTCAAAGAGTGATACGGAACACACTCTAAAGTAATCATATATATCAGATGATGATCTTAATATACTGCAAATTATAATATAAATAGCAGTGAAGTAATATGAAGGTAAGAGTTATATTGATGGTCAATACAGAATTTAAAACAAAGACATTTCTAGGTGAAAGTTTTACATCATGAAACTTAAGCCACTGGGTTTTTAAGTGTATGCATCATTCTACAGTCTGCAATTTCATTCACAATTGAAAACATCCTTGAACTGCAGACAATTATAACAGTACAGAACAACACTGGAAATGTTTCTCTCTTAACTAGTTTTGTGAACAGTATTTGTTAAAAGGTTCAGATAATGTCTCCACTTTTTTAAACAACCGAATCTTTGTATGTAAAGTAATTCCAGATTCTGCAAGTGTTTATATACAGAGTGTCCTAGGAGAAATGTGCCAGACTTCGGGAGGGTGTTCCTTATGTTAAAGTATGCTCATATAACCAACACCTATGTCCAAAGTTGAACGGTTACAGAGATAATGGCGAGAGAAGTGTGAAACTTTGACAGGTGTTACACACTTGTCGATTACCAAATACATACCAAAACTGGCAGGAATACGTGGTTTCTGTAATGTTAATAATGTATGTAACATCAAACTAACTTGTGAGTGACATGAAGCCATTAAATTGAACTACAAAAAAACTCGCACACCATGTCAGAGTTGTCCTTAGGTGTCCAAGCACTATACATGACACATGAATGGCAAGCACTGATGTAACATGGCTGACTGCACATTCTGGTATAAGCCGTCTACATAACTGTACTAAAATACAGTACCTGCTTTATAGTAATTGTTCAAAGTGTCCTCCGCCAGCTGCAATGCAGTTTTCGGCATGCATCATGAGGGATTGGGTAGCAGAAGCAATGTTGCATGGATGGTGACGTACGTGTTCTGTTGCAGCAAAAACACAATCCCGCAGTGCTTCTCGTGAATCGACCTTAGTTTTGTAGTCTAACGTCTTCATGTGGCCCCAGAGGTAATAATCTAGAGGCGTAAGATCTGGCAACCTTGGTGGCCATGCAACAGGCCCACCACGACCTAACCAGAGGTTAGGGAAGGATTAATCTAAGTAGTGTCACACGTGCTGAGTGTAATGTGGGGGAGCCCCATCGTGCTGGAATTACATTTGGCTCCTTATCGTTAATGGGATGTCTTCCAACAAACATGGTAACTCTTTCCTCAGGAAGGCTTCATACGTGTTTCAGGTTAAACTGTTATGAAACACAAAAGGTGTGATCAACCTGTTCCCAAGCATACCACACCATACATTCACAGAAAATCTCTTTTGGAATTTCGTTACCATTATCTCGTGTGGATTATTATGGGACCATGTATGCACATTTCGTAAATTATTTACACTGTCCTGGGTAAAAGATGCCTCATCACTGAATAAAATGACGCTTAACAGTTCGGGATGAGCTTTTATCCAGTGGCACAAATCCATATGCTCAGCATGGTCGCCTGGTTCCAGATGTTGTACCCTTTGATCATGGTAAGGATACAACTCTTCATCATGTAAAGTTTGCCACACCTGCATACATGATATGACAACGCAAGAGGCCATTCTACGAGTGGACAGAAGCGGACTTCTCTGAACCATCTCAAGAATGTTCTCTCATGTGTTTATCATTTGTACATCCTCCCTTTCAGAGTGCACAGAAACACTCGGAAGAGAACCAGTATCATGCAATGTCTGTGGAATTCGTGTAAATACACTTCGAGATGGAATCCTTCGATCACGAAAACGCCTTTGGTATTCTTCAACAGCAGCACGTGCATTGCCACCGCAAAATCCATGCACAAAATGCATATCTTAATATTCAACATGTGAAAACACAAAAGACATTTCAGCAACTCTGCACGACTAACCTACCAACCATTGACAACGCGGCCACAACATACCGTGAAGGAGGCACATAAGCTTATGGCTAGTGTGAGCCATCATCATCACACTCAAGGACAGACATCGATAAGAATTGTCAGCTGACAGGTACAGTGCGTCGACCCGCCAGAGACCACACTTTTCTCAGATCATCATCTCCATAGCCATTCATCTTTGGACGTAGGTGTTTTGGGTTATATCGGAGTACTTTAACATAAGGAACACCCTCCCGAAGTCTGGCACATTCCTCCTGGGACACCTGTATATACACCTGTGTGTCGACTGACATAGCATTGTGTTCATCTTTAACCAAAACAAACCAGAACTTTACAAGCTTCTGTAATGTCTTGCAATTCTTACTAGCTGTTAATTTCTTTAGTAACAGAAATTTGATGTAAATCCACCTTTCTAGAATATCAATGACCCACAACCCTTCAGCTGCTGGCCCAGTCACCTGATAGAAGCATTGGTAAGATAGTTAGTTGACTGGCAATGTCAAAAGTGTATGGGACTGACCCTTGACCACTGTGGCATCTGTGGTAGTTGTGGTGGTGGTGGTGGTACCACTGCTGCTGGGCGAGGGGCACGTGCACGTGCACAAAGGACATGTGACTTGCACCATGGCTGCCAGGGTTTCATCTGACAGACAGACATTGTTAGCCTCTGAATATACACCACCTGGTTTGGCATTTCCACTGAGTTTGGATAATTCTTTTGTATAACTCTTAATGTTACTAATTCATGTATTTACATTTACTGAACTTTCCACTAATACTGAAAGATTCATTCACCAAAGAAATACAAGTCTAGACAAAAGACTGAAAAGATTAGATTACAGTATATTAAATTTTAAAGATCTTTACAGAACATTTTTCAGAAGCTTGAATAAACTCCATGTTATCTTTCACCCCAGTATACAGAAACAGAAAAACAAGTTGTTTTATAAATGTTTACATGAATGCTCCTCTCACATAGTCACTGCTTACTGTATATATGTCTAATCAGCAAAACTCTAGATAAAGACAGAATTCTGTAAAATATGTAATAAACTTCTAGTACAACTCACCATTCTCTTTTGTTGTTTGTTGACTTGGGACTGCAGGAGCTACCTCCTCTGTAAGGAAGAGTGGGTGGCAAGCTTATAGTAATCAGCCAACAGAAAGCATTGACTCACACATTAAACTACTACACTACAACTTTTCATTAACATGCAAACACACAAGAAGATACCAAGTTCAGTGGCAGTTCATTTAAACATTCTAAACAGTTACATGCTGTATATAATCACTGTATTTTCCAGATAATAAAACAAGCTTTCCTCCATGGAAAATGTTGGCTAAAATTTTCCTGCAATGATATTAAATATGCTATTAAACTACAACTTTGTGATGAAGTATTCATGATATAAAATAAGTAATCAGGCAGCTATATAGAAATGATTGACTGACTGGCTGACTGATCAACCAACCAACCAACAAACTAATAAAACAACTAACTAAGCAACCAACCAATACTGTAGTAGTAAAATCTGCTAACAATAAAGCCTGCTATTGGACATGATCCAATGCTAGTAAGGTGTATTAACATCTCAGTTTACTTGTCCTTCGTTCTCTTTTCCTTTTTCCTGTCATTATTCTTCCCTCCAATATTACTTTTTCTTGGTTTCCCTCCTAATTCTTCCCCCTTCCAGTTTCTTCTACTCTCCCAACCTTCTTCCTAGCCTCACTCTCACTGTCATATCCTCAAGTTAAAGTGAAATCCTCTTCCATACAATAGCCTGGGTGAAATGTCACTGTTTTCTTACTGCCCCTTTTCTCCATAGGAAATTATTAAAATTCTTGCCTTTTTGCATAAATTCCTTCTGACAGCAGTATGGTTAGCTCAGTCTTGTTTCTGTATTCCCATTACTGGTAGGGTACTTTGAGTTGTCAAGAATGTAAAGTTATTTCCTTTCAGGGGTAAATTTGAATAAAATTCCATTAACTTGTATACTGGATTTACTCAAATCTGAATCTAAGACTGCCTCCCCACCAACAGACATGTCTGCATACAGAATGTGACTTCATGTTTTAATTGCATAGTTATGATAAGCAAACACATTGTACATTAAGTCAGTTCCTTCTTTCTCACGTTTATTCCCTTCATCTCTTCATGGCAAAGTTCTCTATTCTGGGCAAATTTATTACAGCTCATGGCTTGTGACCCTGAAATAATTTTTCTTCTTCATATGCTGCACTGAGAGCATGATACAGTGTGAATGCTACCTACTGCATCTTAAAACAATAACCCAGTAATAGATTTTAAAAACAACGATATATATTTTTTGATGGAATTCAAAACAACCCTTTGCTTTTTAAGTCTGAAAATAAGGAAAGAATACTTGTCTTCCCCTGGGTACATAAGGTATTATTTGGAAAGCTGTGAAAGGCTCATAAGTATGTTTATTATCATGGGAACTGTATCAGTACATCAGCGCAAACTGAATGATTTCAGTCTCAGTGCTGCAAATTGAAATGCTATTCATTTTTAGAGTCTAGTCAAAATTATCTGTTGTTCTCTATTGTCTTCTCTTACAAATTATTGTTAGTATATTTGGAAAGCCTAAAGTAAAACAGTACTCATATTTCCTGTCTATATAAAGTCATTCTAGTATGCATATCCATATCTGTGGCAATTTCTCCTACTGCGTTCTTCAGATAAATTTTAATGTTATCCTCCCATCTCCTTCTTAATGTTTCTTAAGGAAACTTAACAAGAGGTTTTCCCACTAAAATCCTGTATAATAATGACTGGAAAGTGAAATATAAAACTGCATGTAAAACTGTTCATTCTATAGAAAACTACATTGTCAGTTTCACTAACTATTCTCCAATGAGTAAATAAGCCAACACTGTAACAAGAATCTTGACTGTACTAAAAATATTCAAAATATACTATATTTAGTGCAGCAATTTATAGACTTTAAGATAACTGAAACAGACTAACAGATGCATTTGACCTACTGTCATCATAATGAAAGCAAATGCAAAGCTGGCCAGGAACACAGTAACAATCGAGAAGAATAGCTAAGGATACGGAATCCTATTGTACGAAAGGTCCGAGTGCTTGCCATAGTGAGCTACAGTTTTCCAACTGACCTGTAGTTACACGTCCACAGGCTTTGTGTTCCCCATAAGCAATGCTCTGTATGAATCTCTTCTTGCCTGCACTCCAATCTGGGGATCCCACTGCTGTGCAACGTTGCTCTACATTATCCCATGCACAATATGGATCTTGCAGAGCCACACACTCCCTGCAACAAACACATTCACTTGTCATAATACCATACTTACATGGCAAAATTGACATACCATATCTCTGAAGACAAATATAACAACAGAAGAGTATACAGAATATTGGTATTCAATTTTATAACAAAATGCACAACAATGAAAAATAAACATAAAATTGTATACCTTTCTAATATACAATCCGACAGTATTACCAGCATACCAACCCTGTCAGCAAGTACAGAGGGCAAGAGCTATTTTGAAGTGTATAGTGACCTATAACCTCACAGTATAACTGTGAAAAACTAAGCAAATTAATTTCATAAAATGCAAACCATAACCCATGTGAAAGAAAACATCTTTTGCAATATGTAAGTTTGTAACCTGTGTTTCATAGAGATTAGTGTACAATATCTAGATGTCAATGTACTAGAGTATACTCTAAAGTTATGAATAATATACACACCGGCAGTTGGTTATCTTGTCAGAGCTACATCGTTGAAGTTTCACAGCTTGAATTTCATCATCTGATACAACAACCAGTTTACTTTCTTCACCACCCATGCGTACCACATAGAGATTCTTCACAGCCACACTAGGTGGTAGTACTTGTAGCTCTTCTATTACTACACTATTAACTATTTTGTCTGAATCAAATGATGCTGAGTTCAAAGCTTTGATTACTTTTCCATCATCTGTAACAGAATATTAGAATATGTGCTGAAGTAATTAAAACTTAATGCGTCTCACAGTCTTAAGCTTATGCACGTGAAGAGCACCCACTGTTACACCCTCTTTCAAAACTGTGAAAGAAAATATGGTTTTTATATATATGTCTGTAAAATATCCCATCTCATGAAACTTTTGTAGATGGTGGAGTTACTAAGTAACCACCCATGGAAGACACACAGTACCACCTTATACTGAACACAGACCTTATATATAACACAACCACCTTACACCATAACAGAACCTCACCCATAACCAAAGAAAGAAAGGGATTGCTGGAAACATGGAGTATCAACTGAAAAGAATAAGTTTTAACTAATTTCAACAACATTCAACAATAACGTGAACTAACTTTAACCAAGTTTTAAATCAATTAACCCTTCCGCACCGACATCCGTGTGCTTCACCGACCCTTTAAATAATCGTATGCCACCGACATCTGTGCAGTTCACCGACCTGCGCAGTGTTAGCTTTGAAGGACGTTGCTGACAAAACGAGGAAAGATATTCCAATTTTCTTTTCAGGAGTACATAGATTAGGGTTTCATCTTTCTATTGGTATATGAGTTATTTATTTTGGACGAATTTTTAGCACGGTATTTTTATTTTGTATCGTTAGTGTAATAGTTCGTACTTTTGTCTCACTGCGCCTAGATTTCATTGAAATTTTTCAAATTCTAAGTAAGGAAAATGTATAAAACTATATATCTTTCGACTCTATGGTCTTTGCTTGTCTATATGAGTCACTCACTGAAACCCCAGACGAAGGTTTTCCTTGAATGGGTTGCTGTACAGTCTGCTGACACAATGAAGTAGTCAAACAAGAGGGTCCTTTTTTCTTGGAACCAAATGCAACCTAAGAAAATAAACTTACGAATGATACAGAAATCTATGATGTCATAACACTTTCTTCTCTCAGTCGCGCCATAACCATGGCCTCTACAAGTAGGAAAGTTTTACAGGGCGATGAACTAGAAGAGTTCCTTGCTCACGACTCGGAAGTTAGTGAGTTCGAATATTCGGATAGTAGTGAAAACAGTGATAATGAAATTGAAGATCAGGCTGTAGTTGATGCTATCCAAGATCTTAGTATTGAAGATGACGACGAAATAGTGGCGAGGGTTCCAGTGGCGGATTCAGACGAGAGTTATTTTTGGCAAAATATGGATAATTATGATGGCGTTCGCGAACGGTTTTCTGAAAATTCAGGCCCGAGAAATCAGTCTGTCAATGTGCTCGATATAGTACAGACATTTCTATTATTTTTTACTGAGGATTTTGTGAACAATATCGTTCAGGAAACAAACACTTATGCGCAACAATTTATATGTGGGAGGGTTTTTCCATTTAGATCTCCAGCTAGGCAGTGGGTACCAGTGACACTAAATGAAATGTATGTGGTCTTAGCCTTGTTCTTGCTGATGGGTATAGTCAATAAGCCAACTCTAAATTCATACTTTTCAACGAAAAGATTACTATACACTCCAGCATTTCCTGATGTAATTTCGAGAGACAGATTCCAGCTTATATGTAAATTTCTCCATTTCAATGACAATACTAAGAAAGATAATTACCTAGGACCTACAAGACTTTTCAAAATTTTTCCTGTCATTCAACATCTCAACGAAAAATTTCAGACACTCTTCTATCCTGGACAAAATATTTGTATTGATGAATCGCTTACACTATGGAAAGGGAGATTGGCATTCAAAATGTACTTGCCACTGAAAGCTTCAAAATTCGGCATAAAAACTTATGAACTCTGTGATTCCAAATCTGGGTATTTATGGTCATTTATTGTTTACACTGGCAGCGAAACCCAACTAAATTCTTCACTGATCAGAGAAAATACCAATAAAACAACATCTGTTGTTCTACATTTGGTCGAACCGCTCCTCCATAGAGGTCATACTCTATGGATGGATAATTATTACAATTCCCCCCAGTTAGCAAAATTATTAAAAAATCATGGCACTGACTGTGTTGGGACCCTTAGGTTGAACAGAAAGGGTGTCCCAACAACTGTAAAAAACACAAAGTTGAGAAAGGGCGAGATCATAGCTCAGCACGCAGGTCCTATAACTGTTCTCAAGTGGCAAGACAAAAAACCAGTTTCCGTGATCTCTACATTTCACAATGCCGACACACAGACAGATATAAAGAGAAACAAAGAAATAAAAAAACCAAAAATTATAATTGATTATAATGAAATGATGGGTGGCGTTGATTTGAAAGATCAGCTTTTACAGTACTACAACGTGGAAAGAAAAAGACTTCATAAGTGGTACATGAAACTCTTCAGACGCCTTTTGAATGCGACAGTGGTAAATGCCATGATAATTTATAACAAGAATCAGGAAAGACTGACAGACCACTTAGCATTCAGAGTAAATCTGGTAGAAGGGTTGCTGTTGAAGTTTACGGACCAGGAGCAGGCAGCACGTAGAGTACAAGGTCGACGTCATTCATCAGATAACACCATCCCCCGGCTTCGTGAAAGACATTTTATTAGTAAAATTCCCCCATCAGGAAAAAAGGCTAGACCACAAAGGCGATGTGTAGTGTGTACAAAAAACAAAAGAAGAAAAGAAACCGTGTACTGGTGCAGTGATTGTGATGTTGGGCTATGTATTGACCAGTGTTTTCAGGATTACCACACCAAACTCAACTTTTAGCAGTTCGAGTGAGTAAAAAAATATTATTTATCATAATTATATTGAAAAATATATATATAGTTTTGTTCTTCGTTTCTTTATGAATATTTCTGTGAAAATTTTATCTCAATATACCAATTTTTGCGAGAGTTACTAAATTTTTCATGGATAAGTGCATTTTTCTGTTTAATAATTAAATACCCCGTCGGTTTGGCGGTAGGAAATGATTTAAATACTATCCGTCGCGGAAGGGTTAACTAGAAAAGGTATTACAGTGCAGCAATTACACAGAAGTATCTATATGATGATGATGATGATGATGATGATGATGATGATGACCTTATGAGGTCCTAATATGTCGCAGAAGTAACATTTATAGAAAAGTGACAATGTAGTACACCAACAGTTTATGAGCATAACAAGAAGTTTTTCGATTTGTTTCATTCTGGTCCATCACACTAGCAATATCATGAAAATTTATACAGTTCCGCCTAGTGTGACTGGTAATGCAGTCACACTAGACAGAACTGTTTAAATTTTCATGAAGTTGTTCCTCCATGATTTGCCCAGCAAATGAGATTGTTACCCAATGCAACAGGATTCTGAAGTAGAATACTATGAGTTTCTAATTTTATTTACCCCCCAACTCATCAGGCAGTAGCTCAAGATAGATATGGTTTCTTTCATTTAGAAGAATGGTAAAATGGGGAATGCCTCTAATATTGCAGTTCTACCGTGTTTTGAGTACCATGCTGATCTTGGCATTATACTTGTTTTCATTCTTCACTGAACCATCAATGTCTCTCGCATGTCAGTAATTATGAGAAATAGATCTAATATTATTCTCCAAGTAATTGTACAGAGGGGTCCAAAAAATGTACTCTCTCTTTGATAGTATCTTTGGAACAAAATGACATGTAGTTAAAATTCTTGCGTGGTAGTGTAGTTTCATGTTTTCTCAACAGATGGTGAAGGTCACATGCGTCACGTGAGTGTCATGCCACGAGCAGAAGACAGCAGCAACGATGGCTGAAAGGTTGTTCTTTGAGCAACGCAAGGCTGTACTGAAGTGTTACTGGAAGTACGAAAATATTAAAGAGGTACGACGACAATGGCAGAATATGTTTGGAACTCAGCCACCAATAAGTCAAACAATTGCCCGTATTCAGGATAAATTTGAAGCCAACAGTACTGTTCATGATGTGCATAAACATCGCGCGGTTTGATTGGTCCTTTCTTCTTTGAAGGTACCGTAACTGGTCAGGTGTATCTCCATATGCTTCACACATCAATTTTCCTTGCCATTCGAGAGCTATTTGGAGATGAGAGATTTTACCCACAGCAAGATGGTACTCCACCTCACTACCATCGAGATGTCAGAGCATACTTGGATGACACTCTACCTGGACAATGGATAGGTCGAAGAGGTGCTACTGAGTACCCACCACAGTCTCCAGACCTAACACCTCTCGACTTCTACCTATGGGGAAGCTTGAAGGATGAAGTTTATTGACAAAAGCCAGCTACACTGAATGTGCTACAAAAAACCATCGAAGCGTCGTGTGCAACCATCACACCGGACACACTGTCAGCCGTAGTTTGCTCAGCAGTTCAGCGGCATCGACACTGTTTAGCTGCTGATGGTGGTCACTTCGAACACATACAATGACTCTTTCTCTCTCTCTCTCTCTCTCCACACAAGAATTGTAACTATATGTCATTTTGATCCAAAGATACTGACTATCAAAGAGTAAGTATATTTTTTGGACCCCTCTGTATTTATTCATGTAGACAGTTTTTGGCCTATGTATGTAAATAAATTATTTCATCATAACTGTATATAATGAGTTTTCTAAGAAGAAGAAAAGGTTGACACAATTTACTGAAAACCACAATTTAGTGTAAGAACCCCCCCCCCAACAGATACATTAAATAGAGATAACAAGCAGCTCTACCTGTTCCAATGAAAAGGACATCATAAGCTTTTCCATCTGGAGTCTTCACTTGCTGATCTACTGCTATTTTTGTAAACCTGTACCTGAAAATACAGAAAATTTATTTAATGCTTTCAAGTTTATATCGATATTATTAGTGAACAAACATTTTGTACATATAGGGCTACAGAAAGACAGCATGTTCCGTCAGAATAAACTTTGCTACAAACTGTAGAAAAAAACATTTTATCCAATTAATGACTGACTCTTCCATAGAATGACAGACAAAATGCATAACAATATAAGACAATATGTGAAATTACAGTTCTTAAATTTTAATTTTTGAATGTCTGGATAGGAGACTGGAGGATTTTGAAGGGAATGATAGCAAGCATTCCTTGAAATTCATCCGCTCTTAAGTTCTTCACGAGTGTAATTCTGATTTATTACTGGCATTCCCGAATATCAAAAAGGTGTCATATATGTAAGGATTTGTGTCCTATTTATATTATAATTCTGATCTGCATTCTAGCAGTGAAGTGCACTAAAGTGTCCTTAATGTTATCTGCGTTCTTTCCCAGATCTTATTGGCCTCCATCTGATCCGTGTTTTCTTTGTGGCATATCAAACAAATTAACATTGCCAACACAGACCAGAAACTGATGCGTGCCAATCAATTCCTGCTTTGCTCAGACTTTCTTAATGGTGTATTCTAAAGCAAACAGAATGGCAATAAAGAATCTCCGCTTCAGATTAACCTGAATAGGAAGAGCATAAAAAAATGTTTAAGTACATGGATTTTAATATGTTTACATCAATTAATTATCTCCAAGGACCTCAGTCCTTCTTGGGAAGCTGTCAGTCGCTCAGCTACTCAACAATTTCGCAACATCAAGCCAAAGGTACATTATCCTGTTTACAAGCGCTGCGCCACAGCTCAAGCAGTTATTCGCTGGCTTCCCACCACGGCGGCCAGGGTTCGATCCCAGGTCTGGTCAAGTGGGATTTGTGGTGGACAAAGTGTTGCTGGGTCGGGGTTTCTCCGAGTACTTCGGGTTCCCTTGCCAATCTTCATTCCACCAAATTCTCCATCATCATCACCCTAGGCAGGATACAACACGCCAATCAGTGGCCACCATACAGAGTGGACCCAGTTAGACTCCACCCCCCACTAAGCGAATTTAAAAATTAAATTTGAATCATGTTTACAAGATTCCTCCACTGGTCCCTATCCTCAGCCAGATCCATCTATTCCATAAGTTTATTTTAAACATGTCTTCTCTTAGCTATTCAAGAATTTCAGTACTTTATGCAACCAAAAAGTTCATTACCATGCTCACATGAACCCACCACTGGTCCCTAACCTAAGCCAGATTAATCCAGTACCTAGGTTTAATTTAAATATATCTTAATTAGCCTACAACTACTAGTCCCTAGCCCAAGCCAGATCAATCCAGTGCCTAGGTTTAATTTAAACACATCTTACTTAGCCTATCTGGTTGTATATGTATAACAAATTCAGTGAGAATTCTGTATAGTACTTCTCTCTTCACAGAATCATAGAATTTCTTTTAGTCTATCAATTACTTATGCACTGTCCCATTTCATGCTCATATTCTCTTCAGCACCCAATTAACGAAGAATACTGAATGAGTAATTGCTCTATTATGACATAATCCAAACCAACAGTTAATCCCCAATAATTCCATTCATGAATGGAGCTAAACATGACAGAAGAAATTTGAAACATGTATATAGTTGATAACAGTGATACTTCTTGATAATTATTTCAGTCAGTTTTACCACTACTTTTACAAATAGGTGTAATAATACATTTTCTTACATTGATTGTGCAGTTCCTTCTTATTCCAATTAGATGTAATCCATTTAAGCCCAATGTTAAGCATAAGCAGCAAAGTGCCACTGTAAACCACATCAAGGTACCCTTATTCTTCATTTCAGAATAAAAAGGACAACATGTTTAATATATTGCCTAGATGGAAGCACAAATTAAGGTCTGGGTGCTTCTAGAAATTCTGAAGAAAAAAAATGCATGTTTACCATAAAACAATGGCAATTATAATATCCTTCAGTAGCTGTTTCCATCTCTGCAAATCATGGTGACCACCTGAAATAACATTCTTTCACTCTGCACTTGGAAAAGAAGGCTTCATGGGGTTAATAATAAGTATGGGGATTTCAGAATGTAATATTCCACCATCCATTCTCCCATACACCTTCATGGTGTAGTGATTAATTAGATAATCACACGGATAACTTTACAGTTGACCTTACTGCATAGAAGAGTTGTTAGAATTTAATACATGTCTGGCAATTTGCACTTTTTCAACTTTACCATATCAATCTCATCCTATAAAGGAACTTTGCTCAGGTACTAATGGTACAGCCATATATATATATATATATATATTTTAAGTCTGCATAACATCATGAATCCACCAAACCAGGGCTTGGATTCTACAACCACTACAATTTTGTTCTACTTCCTTTGACGTAATAGTTGGGTATTCTTTATCAAACCATGAATCCTGCTGCCTTAACTCATAACCTTCTGGCTGAAGTTTAGATAAACTCTCCTAATAATCTTAAAAGACCTACTGATATCTAATTATCATAGAAGTTTTCAAAATCTGTAAATCTGTTTGAGATTTAAACCTGATACTGTTTTAAAACATCCCCATTGTTTAGCTTCTTGAGATTAAACCTGCCAATATCAAACTTCTGTGTCACCTGTTGGCATACTCGCGGTATTTCTCTCTAAGTTCTGCAATATCAGACAGAGGTCAGCATCACAGCCATCTTCTCTACAAGACCTGAGGTAAGTATCTTTCAGCACCACCCTTTATGTATTAAGGCATGATATATTTGACTATGTGTCTTTCCATCAGATCAAGTCCACATTATTTATAAATGCTGTGATGTGGAAACTCTAAACAATTAAATTTTTTGATATGACAGAGTTCACTGTACCAACCTCATTATCATCACCATAACTGCACAGTAAATCTGAAATATACAGTCAAAACCTGACACACAAGATAAATTAAATTAATGGTAATTCATACAATAATATTTATAACCAGTATCCATGTGATACTTACTGGAGGCTAATGCGTATAAGTAATGGCCGAGTAAAGAATGCTGGTACTGCTTCATCCATCAAGGTATGTGACTTGACGAAGTTGACGGATACATCTGGCAGAGTGCGACTGTCATTGACACACTGACCAGGCCTGGGTTCAGGCACCTTGAGGCCTGGCACTGCCAGCCAGTTGGAATTCATTGTCTCTTGCTCTTTGAATGGTCCCTCAAATGTCTCCAACAATGATTTCACACTAAAGGCACACACAGCAGAGCCACCAATGGAGTTGACAGGAGTTGTAAACACACCATAGATCAATTTCTCCACATGATCCCCGTATGTTCCTTCCACTATGTCACTGGTTGACTCTGTAAGCATTCCGAGGTTGTATGGGTTAAGATATTGTATGGGTATCATTAATAAGCTACATTCTATTTATACTGCAATATGTTGCATATCAATACATTTACTCACTGAATGATTTTGAGGGTAATTTTAAACATATGGTTTGATACAATGAAGGCAAATAACTAACCCTAACATAATGGAAATTGAAGGTTCAATGCTTCCATCTGCCTCCGATCGTAACAAACCTATTTCCCTAAGATCCATCTTGTTATTTTCTCACATCTTCTCAGCCTTGCAGACAGCTGTTTTCTACTAGGCATCCCACCCAAAACCTTACATGTATTTCCTCCACCACTCCAGCCAAACACCCACCATGTTTTGGACAACAAACAGGGTAATAACATTTTCTGAATTGAAAAGCAAGCGCTTCCAGAAATTTCTATCTGTCAGTGGTGTACATGAATGCTTAAATTTTTAAATATCCTAGAATTATTAACTGCATCATGAATTCATTGCTGATTTTGGTTTCATATGATATTCACATAACCACTTTCACCTATATTTACTTATGGATCAACTTATTTACTGACATATAGAAGAATTTCAACATTACTTTCACAACATTTATATTTTTCCCCAACAAATTAACATCACCAGCGTAAGTACTTGGTTTCAGATATTAAATTCTAACAATTCCTTCTTTATATAGAGTCTTCGAACTTTTCCACCAGATATCAAACTGAATATTAATAAAAATTTCTGTCTTCTTGGATATATACTGAATGCTGTCCAAGCCACTGAAAGTCAATTGATATTTTGGCCTCTGTCTTCAGAGCCAAAAGCCAAGCAAGAAACCAGTGTGAATCAAGTAGCAAGCACAGCAAAAGGAAGTGTTCCTCCAAAATGTCACTTGACTTTCAGTGGATTACACAATGTTATATCCCAGACTGAAGAACTGTGCATAACCACAGCCATGATAACCTCAAATTCACATGAATACTAAAGTTCATGGGGCATGAAATAGCATTCATTGGAGCAAAATTAGCATTATATGCAGCGCATTCTGTTCAGATCATATTTCTGATCTCCAATATAATATGTCAAAATGTGTATATCTGATTCATAAGCAGTCAGTTTCTTTCACATAAATGTAGTTCACACATACGTATTTCATTGAAGTAGAAGGGGTAGTCCCCTGGGACGGAACAGTTGAGGCGAGACTTGAGGAAAGAAGTCCAACGATCGCCGAACTGATGTGGACCTCCTTTGTCATGCTTGCAGACACGAGCTACCCGTGAATACACAGTCTGGAAGTAAAGCATCTATTAAGACATCTTCATACAGCCAGATTGTGGACATAAACGTCTTTATCGTTTGTAAGCTTCCATAAATGAGTATGTGTGCACTTAAGTCTGTGTACACATGTGTGCGCGAGCATACAAGTGTGTTTATACATTTGTGAAGAGGAGGAGAAAGAGGAAATCCCGCTTCACATGCCCTTAACAAAAGAAGAGGAAACCGGATACGAGTACATCAATGCTCCAATTCAGCATGCTTGGATTATTCAAGAGAAGTCTGTGTCACTTGTGACACTGAAACGGTAAGTGGTTGAGGACCATCCAAACATGACCTAAAATATTGTCAGTTGGAAAAATGTATTTCTCACTCCTTATTTTGGATGCATTCATATATTCAGTCTTTGCTTTCTAAGGATTCATCATCTCTTGTTTCTCTGATATTTAATTATATTTTATATTTATTATCAGTTGATTTCTTCTACGTAATTGTTATCAGCTGATTTCTTCTACATAATTGTTATCATTTGTTTTCTTCAAGTTTTGACGACATTTTATCAATATTAACTCACTTCAAGGTGTTACTTTCAAAACAAAAAAATTTAAATATCTCTGTTGAAGAAACTGAACCCACAACTTAGCATTTAGAGCCCAAATGATTTATTTACACCAATATTTAAGTAAATATAAACTGTAACACAATAAGTTCAACACAGTTTGAAGCTTGGCACAGGACCCTAAAACAGAAATGTGTACCAGAATAACCAGGAGTTTTTCAAAAAGCAATTATCAGATTTTAATCTGAACAGGTCTGCCAGCTCAGTAATTCTAACTAAAAATAAAAGACTGATAATTCAGTTTAAAAGTTAGTAATAATATTTTGACATCCTCAGTAATTTCAAAATACTTAATATATTTTTCCTTATTTACTCTCTTACCTTGCCACAGTTTATGTATTCAACAGCTGTCTCTCTGAAGAAGAAGAAAATGTAATCTTCATATGCCATGGAACTCACAAAATTTGGAGCTGAAACAACGAACACATGAATGAGCAAGAGAAGACATTTTATTGTGTATTTATCTTCACATTCTGGATTATAATCATGTACCACTATAGTCTGCTGCCAAGTTTGCATCACAGACAAGAAATTACTCAGCCTGGCAGAGGTAGATGATTGACGTTATATTCATATCACAGGCATCACTATGACTACATGAAGTAAGATTCTTTAATACAAATAAGTAATTATGCGTAATTGTGTTTGAAAGGACTTATTACAGGACATGATTTTTAAGGAGGACATTGCCATTAATCCATTACGCCTTCAACATCTAAAAGATTCAACTTCATGAACATGCTTACAGGATAGCTTAAGGGGGTCTTCAGGTAGAAATAGTTACCATTCAGCTGCTTCAGATCTGACCGCTCTGTTCGAAGAGGTTCTCTGTAGATGAGAGGATCAGTGCCTGAGAAATCTGCTACAGTGGCTGTGTACAACTGACCATCTGGAATATGAGATTTAATCATTTATATTTTGTATTATAAGTCTTGTAGTACTCGTGTTTTGGAAGTGAGAGAGCAATATGTTACTGAGGTAATGAAACATCCTGAGCTATGGTAAATTTAGGTACCTACAATTAAATATATCACACTTCAACCAGTTACAAACAATTCTATTTGTAACGTACTTTAAGACAAATCTGATAATATTGTGGTGTATTTACTCCATGCAACAACTGCTGGGCCACAGGAACAAACACTGCTAAGTAACTACGTTCACAACAGAACAACAGTGTTATGCAACCTGTTTCTAGGCAACAGCTTGGTAAATACACTTTCATGTAGGCAGTGACGTCACACAATAGTGGATAGTGACCGCATGCCATGTTTAGTGTAGGTCTGTGCCAAGGGTTTATTGGAGGCAACAAAGGTCATTTTCAGGCAGTCATAAGTTGGAGGAGTGAGTAACCGACAGGGCCCGCGCCATAGCTCATGCGGTTAGTTGCTGGCTTCCCACCGTGGTGGCACGGGTTCGATCCCGGGTCTGGTCAAATGGAATTTGAGGTGGACAAAATGGCGCTGGGGCAAGTTTTCTCTGAGTACTTCGGTTTCCCCTGCCAATCTTCATTCCACCAATTACCCACAATCACCTTCACCTATCATCCGGGACTGGTACAATACACCAGAAGTGTATTAGCAAGGCTGAACCTTCAAGTTCTGCTACCAGCATGTTCCTATATATGTATGCAAGTTTATGGATATGTGTACATACTGTGCTACAAAATTATACATTACATAATTAGATTAATTATCTGTAATAAGATACAATAGTTACAATATTAATGCAGTGAGTTATACACTGCTGGCATTAACAATGGTGACAATTCACTTGTTTAATGTGTGATGTCTTGTCCATTTCACCTTTAGACTGGATACTCTCATTCCACAGTCAATTACATGTACGTGTATAATGCACTGGTAATAACATCTCACTTTGCATGTACTGTGGTCCTGTTATAGCACAAGCATTCGGTTAATCTTTGGGGCTCGAGCTGAATTCCAGGTTAACCCATATGGAATTCATTGTGGATAAAAGTGGAACCATGGCAGGTTTCACTCACAGTACTTTGACTTTCCCCTCTCAATTATCATTCCACCAATGCTACATCAGCATCAGCAGCCGGGACAACAGGCCCACACTGAGGCTGCACTACCACAGAACATGCATATATATATATATATATATGTTACATGTATGTGTTTATGAAATCATATACAGTGGAACCTCTCTTAACGAGCATAATTCGTTCCAGAATCTTACTCGTAATGCGAAACACTCGTTAAGTGAAACAATTTTTCCCATATAAATTAATGTAAAATACAATAATGCATTCCACACTGAAAAAAATACTCAAAAAAACTTATGTATAACGTTTATTCAAAGAAAATTATATATACATTGTTAAGGAGCATGAATGATCTTCATATTTTCTTCTATGCGGAATGAACCAACCTGGAATGTGAATTCGATTTGCAGAAAACAAAAAAATAATTGAAATAATTAGTTTATTATTTATGATACATATCTAATTCTTTTTTATTAGAAAACTGTCTAGAGACTTTTGCTTTTGCCGACGCTTCAAAATTTGGTGAAAATGCAAAACAGCATTTGTAACATGCAAGCCACTGCCTTATTAGGGTGATGCTTCTCAATGTACGATGCAACCGTTTCCCATGCTTTCAGCATTTCTCTTATTGTGCCAGAAGATTGTTGCTTTGCTGTTACATCCTCCTCCTCCTCCTCCTCTGACAAACTCTCCTCCACAACTTCTTGCTGTGAAACACAATGCAACTCCATAAGCACTTCAGTGGTCAGCTCTTGGCTGTGCTCTTCCACAAGCTCATCGATATCATTGTTATCCACCTCCAGCCCCATGATCTTGGCCAAAGACACAATCTCATTGACTACAGGCTCCACAGGTACTATCTCAAACCCCTCAAAGTCACATTCGACAACGCTCTCTGGTCAAAGCTTCTTCCAAGCAGAAGTGAGGGTTCTCTTTGTAACCCCTTCCCATGCCTTTTCGATCATCTTCAGGCAGGCAACGATGTGGAAGTGATATTTCCAAAACTCCTTGAGAGTGAGATTGGTCCCTTAAGTCACCTCAAAACAACGCTCTAAGAGTGCTTTAGTGTACAGCTTCTTAAAGTTAGAAATAACCTGCTGGTCCACAGGCTGGAATAAGGGAGTGGTGTTGGGAGGCAGAAACCGGATCTTGATAAATTTAAATTCTTCAAGGAGGTCATCTTATAGGTCTGGAGGGTGGGCAGGAGCGTTGTCCATAACAAGCAAGACATGGAGTGGCAGATTCATCTCAAACAAATATTTTTTCACAGAAGAACCAAACACTTCATTGATCCAATCAGTAAAAAGGTCACGTGTCACCCAAGCCTTGTTGTTGGACCTCCACATCACATTAGCCTGCTCTTCTGGACTTTACACTTCTTGAAGGCTCGTGGAGTTTCTGAATGGTAAACAAGCAGCGGTTTAATTTTCAAATCGCCGCTTGCATTGGCACAAAATAGCAGCGTGAGACGGTCTTTCATTGGCTTATGGCCAGGCAATGCATTATCCTCTGCTGTTATATAGGTTCACTTCGGCATCTTTTTCCAGAAGAGACCCGTCTCGTCACAATTAAAAACCTGTTGCGGCAGGTAACCCTCAGAATCTATGAGCTTCTTGAAGTCGCTGATGAAGTTCTCTGCTGCCTTTGTGTCGGAGCTTGCTGCTTCACCGTGCCTTACACCGCTGTAGATGCTGTAGATGTTCTTCTCCTAAACTTCTCGAATCACCCACGGCTTCCTTTAAATGCTTCTTCTTCGGCCATTGATGATCCTGGCGTCTTCTTAACGAGGTCGGCGAAAATCACTTTTGCCTTCTCACAAATTATGTTCTCGTTAATAGCGTCGCCTTGCAATTGCTTTTCGTTTATCCATATGAGGAGCAACCTTTCAACATCGTCGAGAATATGTAACCGTTGCATAGATATTCTTGTCACTCCCTTTGAAGCATCTGTCTCCTTAATCTTGTCCTTGTTCTTGAGGATAGAGCAAATCGTTGATGTAGACCGATTGTATATGCGTGCTGGATCAGCCACGCTCACACCTCGTTCTCGCTCTTCAATGATTTTACGTTTCATTTCTACGGTTATTTTTATTCTCTTATGGCTGTCTTTTTGCGGCTTTTTCTTCGGGGACATTTTTGCAAGGGTTCTTAAACTTTGCACAACAAAAAATCACAAATATGTCTGAACACAAGTTTGGAAAAATGAGTGATCACAAGCGACACTAAGATGCTAGCGGAACGAGTGCTAAACACAGACTGAGGTAGCAAGCGCACAATCCGGGACTTCCCCTCTCGTCACTCGTTATGCGAAACGTCGCTCGTTAAGCGAGGTTCCACTGTATATAACAGCTCTATCTAATATTCATATGTAACTCACTAATACTTTTATGAGCACAGGTTATAAAACAAATTAAATTTGTAAGATTTGAGGTTTTCACAGCGGTGACTATGAAGAAAGCAGTCTTCTTGGATGTGGTGACATGTAGACATTGTGCTAACCGACGTATCGGAGGAACGTTCCTCCAAAACGTCGGTTAACACAATATCTACGTGGCGCCACATCCCAGAAGACTGATTTCTTCAAATTAACTTTGCCTGTCGATCGATATAGATAGCTTCTGGACTAAAACCACGGAGTTTTCTTTTTTTGTAAAAACTAAAATTAAAACTGTGTTTTCCACGGAAGCAGTCCACATACCACTGTATACTGCTGTGCTGTTATGGTCAGGGTCGTAAGGACACAGTCCCCTGCCTTCGTATTCTTTTTCCATCACATAGTCACCATCCTGAAATAAATAACAAATCGAGTAAAATATGTTTATTCTCTGACACAACCATTATTTTAAAATATGCCCCTTTTCAGGAAAAAAAAAACGGCTCAGAATAAATTCAATTAAATGTTACTCAGTGATAGACCATATAAAGGTAGAAGTATATGTAACACTTAAAACCTGACCCCTACCAAAAAGAATAAGGAGGAAAAAATGAAAATGTAGTACAAAACTTAAAGATGTAAATGTGTCACATGCCAAGCAGTTCAAAAAAGGGGGGGAAAAAAGAACACTGTGTGTTCATTATATGGCAGATATCAATACAATAAGCTGAGCATGACTTACTTACTATGCTCATATGATGTATATCATCCTGAAATTGCTCTTTGTATTTTCATGTTCAAAATTACATGCTTATCATCCACTTAACAAGAAATAAGTTTGCAACTTTCATGACTAAATTTGTTTTACTGATCACTTCATTATTTTACCAATTAATTAAACAATGGGACATGGTTAATCAAGCAAACTTTTATCAGTTTAATTAGCACTTACAAGTATTGAAGTAAATACAATCTAATGTCAAAGTCATCAATGGACTCATCACTTTTCATAAAATAATGGAACAGAAAACTTAAGTCCAAAATAAAAGTTTAACTCTAGGCATTTTGTAAACCTGTCAACTGGGTAGCTCAGTTGGTATAGTAACTAGGCTATGGAATGGGCAACAGGTAGTTAGGATTCGATTTCCAGCGTGATTGGAGCCATTTCTCTTTGGTACAGTGTCAGAGGACCGCCCAGCCTCCTGTCCAATGGGTACCTGGGGTAATTCTCATGCAGTCATCCACTTGGCTCAATCTAAGACTGGGTTCACCCCCTTACACGTTATTCTTGGCGCAGTGCTCCATTAATTAAGAACACCACCTTTCCTTTGACATTCCAAGCATGTGGGCAGTAACGACAGTCCGCCACTGGTACTTAATAGCCGCCACTGCACGGTACTTCAGCAAGGAACTACCGAATATCAATAAAAGCGCTCTTCGTTCTCGGTGTCTGAACACTGCTGGTCAGATTTTAATGTAATTTATTTTAGGACCGACATCTCCCTTGGGTACGTTTGCAATTTGCATTCACTTTACTGTGACGTCATCAATGTGGGGAGACAAAGAGTAGACTTAGCAACTGTTGGAAATGCTGAGTCTGCAAAACGCAAATTCCCCTAAGGCGTGGGTTTTAGGGGCTAGGACGAAGAGATGATGGTAAAGTCAAGTGGAGAAACCACAGAGCCAATCGGGTGCGTGCCCATGCACTTCTCACTGCAGAATATCCTAGATGAGGAACCCTCGCCAAAATTCTTCAGAACAAATTAGTTACTTGGAAGCAATCCCACCTGGTACCAAGTTATATCAATTAACGACAAAGAGAGAAGGAAAATGACCACTAGAAGACGTAGCCGTAAGGGCGAGGACAATATCAGGACGAAGCCCAGAGAAATTGGATTGGGTAGTATGACTTGGATTCATCTGCCTCAGGACAGGGATCACTGGAGCGGGGCTCTGGTTAACATGGTAATGAACCTTCAGGTTTCATATAAAATTTGGGAAATTACTGAGTCGCTGAGCGACCGGCGACTACCCAATAAGGACTCAGTTCCACGGAGTTAGTGGATCTATTTATTTAACGGCGCTATCGACCGCCTCTGTGGTCTAGTGGTTAAGAGTTCCTGGTTACAAATCCAGAGGTCCGGGTTCTATTCCCGGGGCTACCAGATTTTCTGAGAAGTAGTGGGTCTGGAACTGGGTCCACTCAGCCTCGTGAGGATAACTGAGGACCTATTACAAGGATACAGCGGCTCCGGTCTAGAAAACCGAGGTTAACGGCCGGGGGGATCAATTGCGCTGACCACGTGACACCCTCTACCCGCAAAAGATGGCACTAACTTCGCCGAGAAGCGGCGCTCGCTCGGTCGGTATAGTTCACCTGCGGACTACAGGCCACGTACTTTTAAACGGCGCTACAAGTTGCTCAGCCTATACGCCTATAAAGTCGAATGGTAAGAGGATTTGTGAATAATGAATTGGAATGTTTAGAAAGGAAACGGTTGTTAGCTAATTTGAGGTGTTATCCCAGAATGTGCCTGGAGGAATTTTCGAAAACCACGAAAAACCACAGTTAGAACGGCCGGTGTCCCAGCCGAGATCCGAACCTGGCACCCCCGAATACGTACAAGACAGAAACGTTAACACCTGTGCTAATCTGCGCGGTGCTAAGGTTACGAATGAGTGGAGACTGCCTTCCACACGCCCTACACGCCCTTACGACGCTTTATTCAAGACATAAGGACTGAACCTTTTCAAGATACGTACAGCCTAAAAACCCTCAGTAACTGGTAGAGAAGGGCCGCGCCATAGCTCAAGCGGTTAATCGCTGGCTTCTCACCGCGGCGGCATGGGTTCGATCCCGGGTCTGGTCAAGTGGGATTTGTGGTGGACAAAGTGGCGCTGGGGCAGGTTTTCTCCGAGTACTTCGGTTTCCCCTGCCAATCTTCATTCCACCAATTGCTCCACAATCACCCTCACCTATCATCTGGGGCTGGTACAATAGGCCAGAAGTGGCCGCAGTACAAGGGACTTAGTCCCACCCCACTAGCAATAAAAAAACTGGTAGAGAATTAGACGGTTCAAAGCCCTTAATACCAAAGCCCGCTACTCGACAAGATCGTGAGCCAGTTTCATCCATCTTCCATCCTTGCAGCATTTCTCCTTGAGATCCATCTTACTGATAACCTACAATCCCATTTGTCTTCCCAAATAACGCTTTCCAAGAAATGTCTCTGTCCTAACAACCCCGCAGACTCCATATGAGTTCGGTTTCCCCTGCCAATTATCATTCCACCGACTGCTCAACATTCTTCATCATATACCATCCGAAGCTGGTACAATAGGCCAATTAATGGCCGACGCACCAAGCGGACTCAGTCTCACCCCATCCTACGTAACTTAAAAAAAAAAATCTGTCGGTCAGGTTCGTTAGCTTCAGCAGCAGCAGCAGAATAACAAAATTTAGTCTACATTTGTACAATGGAACAACGGTGGCATTGAACCAACAGACGCCCATAAGATCTCCTACCGCTGGCTGGGTATGCAGATCAACAAGTTCAGAAACGCGTTCAACCTCTACACGAAGACTTGACAAAAACCTACCACGTCATCAGGAGGGCGATTATCAGTTTCTGAACACGGCCTCTAACCCATCGAATTACTTCTTAAGAACCATATTTAATGTCATTATATAAGAAACTAACATCGGGAAAGTTTTGAAATGTGGTGTTGGAGAAGGATGGAGAAGATCAGTTGGACCGATTATGTGAGAAATGAAGAAGTGTTAATTAGAGTAAGTGAGCAGACTAATATCCTACACGAAATAAGTAAACGGAAGGCTAATTGGATTGGTCATGTTTTACGCAGAAACTGCCTTCTAAAAGAAGTTATCGAAGGAAAGATAGAGGGGCGGATAGAAGTGACAAGAAGACGAGGAAGAAGACGTAAGAAGATGCTGGATGACCTTGGGGACAGAAGAGGATACTGTCATTTGAAGGAGAAAGCTCTAGATCGCATTAAATGGAGGAACTGTTTTGGAAGAGACTGTGGACCTGTCGTCTTGACAGAATACTGATGATGATTATGATAAGAAACTCTATTTCAATTCACTTCGTTACCTATTTAATCACGTTTTACTTTCTATATCACTGACCAGTTAATTACAAGAAAATGTAATCATTTACACGGCGTTCTACTCAGCCACATAATATCCTCTGCTGTACCACTTGCAGCTACATACTCTTCAGTCAGTTACAAACGGGCGATAATGCACTGTGGGTAAAGATGGGCGGATACGACAGGAATCGGTCATATCCGTTTGATGCGGCTACCCTCCCGACATTTTCCATTTTCCAGGCAGCGTCAGGAAAACCATGAGTAGCCTCATGCAGAATTGTCGCTCTGTGGATGAAGTTAATGTCCGATCCATCCTGAAAGCGGACGCTGTGCTAACCTCGCCGGTATGATCTTCTCCCGTGAAAGTTTCCAAATTAATTTTCACCTTGTGCTCTTTAGTTTCATATTAACTTCAAAGCGACGGAGAACACTCAGTACTTAATCTGTCGTGGATACAAAGCAAACAATGGAGGCTTTCTGAGCACGAGGTTTAAGCACCCACCGCATTACATTCTAATTCTGAATGGCGCAGGCTTTTGCCCGTAAACGCACCTGTACCACGAGTCTTCGGGCCTTCTTGAGGTAAGAATGTAAAGGTATCCCTGTAACAGGCCGTGGAGGCCCAGAGGTTTGTGACATGTTGAGGTTTCCACATTTTCAAGACAACTGGCTCACAGATAGAGGCGAGGTTGTCAGCCTTAAACGCCGGCCGCATTTACCCCCCGGGAATATTCCTGGTACTCATTCCTGTTAGAGGCTGAGTTGACCCCAGGGCCATAGTGCTGCTGGAAGGATTAGGTCAATTTAAAAAAATCCACCTCACTGAGATTCGATCCCGCGACTTTCCGGCTTGTAGCATAGTGCCTCAACCAACTGCGCTACCGCGTGCCCCCCTTCAGACCTTCTTGAGGTAAGAATGCAGTCAAAATATTCGGTAACTAACTCCGTGGAGCACAGTCCTACTGAAAAGCTGACAGTCGCCCAAGAAATTTCGCGTCTTTTAGGGAGCCCGTGCCAAAAAGAGGCCACAGAAGCCCTTACTATATAAACTAGAGGTTATGTTTAAAAAGCACAAGATTTCTGCATACATTTCGTTTATTGTTCTGATCAACCCGTTCATTTTATCCATAATAACGTCATATTTATAAATTAACACTGTCTGTGTTATTCCAGTGGAAGTTTCTAGAAGTTATCGGCCGTTATCTCCTATTTACGGACGGCCAAACAACAATGTGGGCGTAATCAGCTTTGTATATTATAGTATGAGTACACCAAATTTTGTGCGACATGAAAGTGTTT